CTCGGGTAATTTTCCCTGAAATTTATGCCATACTCAGACACAAAACAAGTCTCAACAAATACAAGGAAACTGAACACACCCTGCATCCTAACTGGCTACTATGGATTAAAGCTGGACAACAACAGAAAGCTCATGAACACATTCTACTGAATGAAAAATTGTCAGGATGAAAATTAAGATAGAAATCACTGATTTTCTAGAAGTGAATGGAAATGAGGTGGAACATAACAAAATCTACAGGACCCAATGAGGTCACTTCTAAAAGGCACGTTCATAACACCAATGACTACAAAAAACTAACTTCATAGCACACCTGAAAGCTCAAGAACAAAAGGTACAATTCACACCATAAGAGTAGACAACATGAAATAATCAGGTGGTGACTGAAATCCATAAAATAGAAACAAATAAACAAAACAATACAAAGTATCAATGAAACAATGAGTTGGTTCTTTGAGAAAATAGGTAAAATTGACAAAACTTTATCCAAATTAATTAAACTGCATGGAGAAAATCCAATCAAAAAATTAGAAAAAAAATAACAGAATCAAGGAAAGCTAGAAACTTATAAAGGCATATTTTAAAACCTATACTTCAACAAACTGGAAAAATCTAAAAGAATTGGGTAAATTTTCTATACACACCACTACCAAAGTTAAATCTAGATTACTTAAGCAGTTTAAGCAGATCTATAACCCCTAGTCAAATAGAAGCAGTAATTACAAATCAATCAACAAAGAGAAGTTCAGGACCAGATAGTTTTAACACAGAATTCTACTAGGTTTTCAAAGAAGAGTTAATACCAATACTCCTCAAAATATTCCACAAAATATAAACAGAAATAATGTTGTCCAAGTTTTATTATGAGGCATGAATTGTCCTGGTACCAATATTACATAAAGACCGAACAAACTAAAAATTACAGACCAATTTCCTTAATAAACTAAGATGCAAAATTCTCAATAAAATACTTGAAAACCATATCCAAGAACATATCAAAAATATTACCCACCATGATCAATTAAGTTTCAACATAAAGAATATTGATTCAATGTATAAAGATCACCCTATAATCAAACTGAAGAACACGGACTACATGATCAATATCATTAGTTGAAGAAAATGTCTTTGGCAGAAGTTAACACCACTCCATGATAAAAATTCTAGAAAGACTGATGACACAAGAGACATATATAAATGTAATAAAGGTTGTTTACAGCAGGTACAACATCAACCTAAATGGAGAAAGACTTAAAACAATTTCCCTAAAATCAGAAAGATAAGCTTCTCCACTCCCTCCATACCTATTCAGCACAGTACTTGAAGGCTTAGCTAGAGCAACAAGACAATTGAAGGAGATGAAGGGTATAAGATTGAACAAGAAGAAGACACAATGACATTATTTAAAATAATATGATAGCATACATGAGTGACTCTAAAAATCCACCAGGGAACCCCTACAGCTGATACAGACTTTCTGTAAAGTAGTTGGATATGAAATTAACTCACCAGAGTAGCCTTTCTATATATAAATGACAAATGAACTGAGAAAGAAATTATGGAAAATATCTTTCACAATTGCCCCCCAAAATAAAATACAACATGGGGTAACTCTAACCAAACAAGGGAAAGATTTGTATTATAAAAACTAAGACATTGAAAAACAATTTGAAGGAAATATCAGAAGATGGAAAAGTCTTCCATGCTCATGGATTTGTAGAATTGATATAATAAAAATGACAATGCTACTGAAATCAATCTACAAGTTTAATACAATCCCCAAACAAAATTATAACACAATTATTCACAGATCATGAAAAAACAATTTTCAGCTTTTTATGGACACACACACACAAATAAACAATAGAATAGTTAAAATAATCCTGTATCATAATACAGGTATCATTATCTCCAGTATAGATGTTAGAGGTATCATCATCTCTGATCTGAAAATTCATTATAGGCTATAATAATAAAATCAACATGATACTGACACAAAAACAGACATGTATATCAGTGGAATCCAGATGAAGTCCCACACATAAATCCACACTTCTATGGATACCAAATATTTTAAGAATCCAGAAATACTCATTGGAGAAAAGACAGTATCTTCAACAGATGGTGCTGGTCAAATTGGACAGCTGCATGTAGAAGAATCCAAATATATCCATTCATATCATCCTAAACGAAACTCAACTCCAAATGGATCAAAGACTTCAACACAAAACCAGATGCACTGAGCCTGATAGAAGAGAAAGTGGGGAATAACCCTGATGGGATTGGCACAGGAGAAGACTGTTGTACACTGTCCAGTATACAAATAGCATAGGCACTAAGATCAATGATAAATAACTGGGACCTCATGAAAATGAAAGCCTTCTGCATGGCAAAGAACACCATGATTCTAACAAAGTACAAGCCTACAGAATGGGAAAAGATTTTTCACCAACAACACATCCAATAGAGGCTAATATCTAAATTATATGAAGAACTCAAAAAATGAGATATCAAGGAAACACATAATCCAGTTAAAAGGGTTACATATCTAAGTAGATAATTCTTACAAGAATAAACATAAGTGGCTGAGAAACACTTACACATTCAACACCCTTAGTGATCAGGGAAATGCGAATCAAATTGAAATCAAAATATTTCATCTTACATTGTGAGAATGGCTAAGATTAATAGCATAAGTGACAGCTATCACTGGGGAGAATGTGAAGTAAGGGGTGGGAGTGCAAACTATTACAGCTGCCTTGGAAATCTATATGTCAAGTCCTCTGAAATTTGTAAGTTGATCTACTTCAGTCAGGAACCCAGCTCTACTACTCTTGAGACTATGCCTAAAGAATGATTCATCCCACCACACAGCTGCCTGGTCAACCATGATCATTGCTGCTCTCATCATAATATATAGAAACTGGAAATCATCGATATGTTCGCCAACTGAAAAATGGATAAAAAAAATATGGTATTTACATAGTGGCGTATTACTCAGCCACTAAATGAAAATGACATCTTGAAACTTGAAGGTAAATGGATAGAACTGGAAAAAAATTATCATGAGTGAGGCACTAAGATCAATAATAAATAACCAGAAGCACAAATATGATATGTATTCACTTATATGTAGGTATTAGCTATTAAGTCAGTGGTAACCAACCTACAGACTGTAGAAGCACAGATGGAGTAATAAAGAGAGTGACAGGTGAGTGAACACTGAGAGGGATCACTTTTATTAAGGGCTGTCTGAGGGATAGTATGAAAACTAATGCAGGACAAGCTTTCTAAAATATATACATATATGGAGGTAGCCTAGATGAAATGATGGAGGAGAAAGAGTCCCATATGGACATTTCCTGTCACCAAAAGAAGATTCCAGTACCTGGGATTGGGTTACACCTATTTGAGTTCTTGGCCATAAAAATCCCTTTGGAGCTCCCAAACTAACTACCCAGTTTGTTGCCCCAACTGTAAGTTGCTCTCCAAAAGCTGATAGGAAGACAACACTTATACAATTCATTTTATATATAGAATTAGTGCTGATGGCAATATAGAACCTTACTCCTCCATGTTAACATCTTGGATACAGGAAGCTACCCTCCATGCTTCCGAAGGAAAACATAAGCAGCATTCCAGCTACAAACCCTTTGATCATGATGGTGTCCTGCCTGCAAGATACACTAGTGCAAATGTGGCACAAAACTTGTGGGAGTAACCAACCAACACCTAACTTGTGTTCCATGAGTTAGGACCCATACGCAATGCTGCCTGGGGGACCAAGAATCTCTAGACTAGATAGCCCAAAGACATAGGGTAAAATCAATACTACTGTTTTAAAACAAACAAACAAAAACATAGGAATGACTCCTACTGATATTCAGCTATACTAATTGATCAGTGTCTTGCTGGCCACCACCAGAGAAGCTCCCTCCCACAGCAGATAGGAACAAATACACATACACACACACACACACACACACACACATACACACACACACACACACACACACACACACACACATCCTGATAAAGAGTAAGAGACCTTGAAATATTCAGCCTTAATGGAAGTCTAGATTGTATCAAGCTGACAATTAAAACTAATGACCAAAACTAACTATCCACCCCTCATGGCTCAGAGAACTCATGAAAGCTGGGCACCAAGGAAACACAGTCCTGTATATCAACAGTATCACGCGCATATGAAATCAGCAAGACTGAGAGAGAATGCTCAGAGACTGAGGGAGACCGTACAGGTCTGCACAGTTGGGCTCCTACAGCTGAAAGGAGAAATGAACACATTCCTCCATCCCAAACCCAGAAACTATCTCCAGTTGAAAACCATTTATAAATAAAAATTTAGTTTCCCTCAAGGAAGTCTCACTGAAGAAACAATCGACCCTTAGGATGAGCTGCATGCCCAGTGGAAGATGACCAATGGAAAATATGCTCATGAGAGGTGGATCTGGATAAGATGGGAGAAGAGGAGGGATGGGGAGAAGAGAGAGGGAAGTCATAATCAAGAGATTATCGTGAGAAACAAAAAATCGATTTCAAAAGAAGAAAAAATGGGAAAGGAAAAGAATCTGACGTACACCTGCTCTCCAGTGTTCACTCGCAATTACTCGTTGGAAAAGCCAGGGGACGCAATAAAATCATCAAAGCTGTGTTTCAAAGCAACGGAGAGGAAACTTCTACAAAAACAAACGCTTCGTTGCTGCCCTGTGGTGAAGCTCCCTTTTCTGGGAGAATACAAAATTCACTCTTTGAGATCATTTAAGAGTACTCTGAGCATAACATACATTCAATAAAAGAGAAAAGAGAAAAGAGTAATAATAAAGTTGACTCACTTTAGTCAATGAATTAATTCATATTTTGGAAAATGTGCCAAGAATAATAATTTAAAAAACACAACATTAAGGTTTGATAGTTACTTGCTCAAGATCAGTGTTCCCATTTCTTGTTGAATTATTTAGTTCACATCAAAACATACCAACCTTTCTGAGTGGGAGGTTTTGGTGTTTTTGGTTTTCTGTCAATATCTTTTGTTTTCAATTCATTTGAAAGGCAGGAAATGTGTTTCATGTATTCAAGAGAGTATTTAAAGTCGGCAGAAATACATCTTGCCTGTGGGAAAAAAAAGGGATTGATGAGTTGTTTCTTGGTGCCTTGATAGAAAACCTTAACAAAGAGTTTGCCTCCCAATTCCAGGTTCTAGTTCACCATCTGAGAGAAGTCAAGGCAGCAGGAACTTGGAGTAACTAGTCATGTCATAGCCACAGTAGAGGGCAAACAGCATGGAATTAGTGCATAAATGTTATACTGAGTTAACTTTCTCCATTTGTATTATAGTTCAGAATCCTCTTCCTTTTTATTAATTTTATTGAGCAATACATTTTTCTCTGCTCACCTCCGTGCCTCTCCTCCTCTCCTCTTGAACCCTCTCCCATGGTCCCCATGCTCCCAATTTATACAGGAGATCTTGTCTTTTACTACTTCCCATGTAGATTAGATCCATGTATGTCTCTTTTAGGGTTCTCATTGTTATCTAGGTTCTCTGGGATGGCGATTTTAGGCTGGTTTTCTTTGCTTTATGTTTTAAAACCACTGATGAGTGAATACATATGATAATTGTCTTTCATAGTCAGAACCTGGAAACAACCTAAATGCCCCTTAACTGAAGAATGGATAAAGAAAATGTGGTACATTTACACAACGGAGTACTACAAAGTAGAGAAAAATAGTGACATCTTGAAATTTGCAGAAAACTCTTCTTAAAAAATGGCACCACCTATGGTGGATGCATCTTCCTACTTCAACCTAACCAAGATACCAGTACCCGAGAGACACCCATAGGCTAAATTGATCTAGAAAATCTTCAGTGAAATTTCCCTCCCAGCTGATTCTAGATCATGTCAAGTGGTTATAAAAACTAACTACAACAGATATTATCAAATCTTTCAGAGTTCTCAAGGAACTTTTTCATGTGTGACAGAGTGTTATGATTTTGACTTTTTTAAAATCTGTAAGACAAATATCACCAAGAAAAACTTTAAAATCACCATTGTTTATTCTTTTATTAGGCAATCTCATAGGAACAGTTAGTAATATCCTGGGGATAATTCTTTTTTTCTTATTATTTTCTTTTTATTTTATTAGATTTTAAAAAGACCAATCCAAATTCCCACTTCCTCCCCTCCTCCCATCCCCTCCACACACCCATGGAAGAAAGGAAGGACACCAAATTACCTTACAGAACACTTAATGTACCACAGACAGGAAGATGGTACTATAAGAACGAACCTAGGAGTGGGACCAGAATAAATGCATGCCTTTAAGTGCAACTGCAACAGCTATGTGTGGGGAAACAACAGAGTGTGGATTAGAGAGGAGTATCCTGGAGACCAATAGAGCCTGTGTCCTGATCGCATCCCTGAGGTGTCAGCACTGTGTGTCTTCTCTCCTCTGCAGACCGTGCAGGGCAGTTAGAGATGGCTGCAGGCCATAAAGGATGCAGCATCGGGAAACCCCTCCTTCCAGTCTCACTGTATCTCCACAGCCTCCATCCTGGAAAATGGTGTCCACATTTGTCTTAGAAAGATGGAGACAGAGAAATGATGCAAGGTACAGGCTGTGTTTCTAAATGAACTTCCCCATAGGTTCTTTAAAAACTTCTACTAAGATCTCATTGGTGGCCCACTTACTTAAAGGAGCAAGGAGCAAATGAGGAATGCAGTCAGGGGTAAAGTAGGGAGGAGACAAGGCTATAACAAAATTGGCATCCTGGTAAACAGAAAAACAAAACAAAACAAAACCACACATATTAGTACATCATTAATAACGTATGTCACAGTGAAGAAATAGTGTTTTACAAAACTTGTTAGTGTGTGTGTGTGTGTGTGTGTGTACATGTGTGCCATGGTATACATATGGAGGCCATAGTACAACTTTGGAGAAAGTTGGTTCTCTCTTCCATGATGTAGGTCACAGGAAACAACTCAAGCTGTTGGGCTCAGGGGCAAGCCCCTTTACCTATTGAGTAATTTTACCTGCCAAGATATTATGCCTTCTCTGAGTAGACACACAGAATTCTGAAGGCCTGTGAATTCATGCTCGGATACTCTGAGTTATTTGCTTTCTGTGTTATGGAAAACTTATATAGTACTGATAAGCTGTCATTGTTTTCTTCACTTCAGAGACTCTTGCCATCATTTAATATCTAGAAAGGATATCAGCTGAGCTCATTTACTGTGTAAGGCCTTAGAAATATCTCTACTCAAGAGAATAAAGTCATAACTTTATCGCAGAATAATCATGGCTCATCCGATGCTTGGATGAATGGTACCACCGTCATCTAAAAAGAAGTCACTTAAATTTCTAATAAAACTTTCAGGTAGAAAACCCCTTACATTTCCACTCTACCTAGATATTGCCCACACCATATTTAGTTTTCTGTCATATGTTCCACACCATGCAATACAGGCATTTGTAGTTAAATCTAGTCTCTCAGTTGGGTGTGGTGGTACATGCTTGCAACCCCGGCACTTTGTAGGTGCAAGTGGGGGGATCGGAGCCTCATGAACGGATTGACAGTCACGGCCCCAGCAGTAGTGACAGTGCAATGGCCCCTGCTGCTCAAGGCAGGAGCTTAGTACTTCTCCCTCCAGGGACAAATCTGTGTTCATGCCTGCAGTGAAAAGACTTTCACTGACTAATTCTGGGCAATTCATTTTCATGATTTTCAAGACAAAAATCACTATTTTTGCTGGACATAAAAATAAATAAGGCATTTTCATCTCATGGACATTCTATCTCCTCAGATTGACAAGCACATACATCATGACTCAAAACATCAAAGCATAATAGCAAAATACGGCAAGATTTTAAATAAAGATGCTTCTCTTGTCTCTTAAATCCAATTCTATTAAAGACATGTTACAAAAAAAATGTGTACACCACAACTTTTTAATTAAGCATGTGATGGTCACCTGTAAGAACAAATGCTTCTAGAAACCATTGTCCTGCTTCTGCCCTGTGGTGTAGGAGGTCCTTCTGTCTACTTATTGCTCTAATTAGTCAATAAAGGAACTGCTTTGGGCCTATAGCAGAGTTATAGGGGAACAGAGCTAGGTAGGGAAAAGTAAACTGAATGCTGGGAGAAAGGAGACTGAGTCAGAGAGAAGCCATGCTGCTCTTCCAGAGCCTAACTGAACTTTACCCAGTAAGCCACAGTTACATGGCAATACACAGATTACTAGAAATGGGTTAAACTAATATGTAAGAGTTAGCCAATAAGAAGTTAGAAATAATGGGCCAAGCACTTATTTAATTAATACAGTTTCTGTGTGGTTGTTTCAGGGCTAAGCAAGCCAGATGGCCGGGAGGAACAAGCGGGCCCTCACCCTATAACAGCCCTGTGTTGATACTCCCCCTTTCCTCACATGACTACATATGCAATTGATCACATGCTAGAAATCAGCTAAAATTCCAGTCACTAGTGTCTGGGGAGGTCACAGGTCCTCAGAGAATACTTACTAATGTTTATTGATGAATAGAAATAATACCTATATTTCTATTTACATTTTTAAACATATTTCCTAATCATTATTTTCTCATCATTCTTGTTTTTCAAATGTCATCGTAATATTCCTGTCTAAGCCCAGGGATCAGTGCAGTTCTCAGCCTTGGCCAGTGAAGCTTCTATTTTCAGTGGGGTGTGACTGCAGAGATTCACAACTGTCAAAGTGTTTAGAATAAATGATGGCTGAGTACTGAACCACAAACTGGACATCTATATTGCACTATCCAAACCTCAGGGAACATTATGAGAGAGGATTAGCAGGGCTATAAGAATGACAGGATGGGAAGACTGCCATGAAATTTGAACATGACACGGCCATTGAATTCATGAACTCACTGTAAAAATCTTCACAAGAATGGAAACACGACCACTTCTTCATGCTTGGAGGTGAGGGCTGGTGAGACCTGAGCACTCAGCGAGCGACTATGGCCAGGTGATGAGTGCTGGCTTGTTGCCACTGAAAATTTGCCTATGCTCCATTAAACAGACTACACTCAAGCTCATTCAAGAATCTATCAGTAAACTCAGTAAGCCTAAAACTATTAAAAAAAAAAAACAGACATCAATGAGGAGAAGGATGGTCAAGAAGTAGAGTTTGTTACAAGACAGGAGGCTAAGAGAGGGCATATAATATTGACAAAGAATAACAGTTCTGCACACCACGCCCTCGTGTCTGCGCTCTGTGCACTAGAACCCAGTTTGTGAGCTTCGGGCAAGATGCTGGAGGTTGAGAATACACACGCAGAGACAAACCGACACACACAGAGACAGACCAACACACGGACCTCCAAACGCTGGTTCAGAAAGCCCCCTTTATTAACACCATGTAGGCTTAAATACACTGCAGTCAATGGCCAACAGGTGATAATCCCATCCTCTAATCCTCTAAACGAGGCACAGTTTCTAGTAACTTTAATTAGAAGGTTCTAGGAGGGAAGAGCAGCTGAAGACCAGAACTCATTAGTCCCGGACTCATTAATCCCAACATAACAGAAAGAGAGAAAGAGAACATGTTAAATTCCACTTATAATATAAAACAACCCACTTTTTCTTCTAAGATCTTATTTTATCGGATCCATTAAAAAATGAGTTTTCCTAGCAATCTTGTTTTACTAGTAGTTATCCATTCTATTATCCAAAACGTAAGAAAGCAAAAGTACACCTGTCAGAGAATAGAAATAGGCTTTATCATTAATGATATTAGATTATCAAATATATATATAAAGGGTCAAATAAAGGAGGTATATTTAAGTAGGGACTTTCGAATTTATATGTAATATATACATATATATATATAAAACATACACTAATAAATATACACTTAATTCTCCAAATTTTCCTTCTTCACATATTCTCTTGATGTCTCTCATCATTTAAATCATTTTCGCTTTCCTGACTTTTGCATGATGAAAGCACATGTGTTAAACTGAGATAAACCTGAAGGAAAATCTTCAAATAGTCAAATATGTAAATAAGCCAGGGCTTTCAAAAGCCACTGAGGTTAAAGAATGTGGATTTTCTGCTAATGTAAGAAGAAAGAAAGTGG